AGACAACCTCTCGTCAATATGCGTTTTTCGCATTGCATTGCTGCAAAAAACGCATAAGAATGTAAAAAGTGCTTAAATGACCTAGTGCAAGGTGACAGACAAAATCAGCCCATCTTATTTCATTTTCTGTAATGGGCCTCAAACATAGCATGAGAAGGTGCATTTTATGGGAAGTGACCGCTTTTTCGTTCTTCTCTCAGGCTCACTCAAAAAGCAGGTTAAAGGGAGTCTGTTGAAGGCTTCTAGGCCAAGCCTTCGTTGCTCATCGGTTTTCCTCAGTGTACATCGTTTGTATTATCAATGTCTACATATTTTTTTAAACGTTGCCTCAAAATAACTGTAGTGAAAATAATTTACCGTAGGGGCCGACAACTTCATCTTTGAAAAACTGCACCAGTGATCTTTTGTTCAAATCAATTCTCCGGATTAGCTGATCGATCAGAAAGCCCAAAGTATATCCGTGATAACCAAGGCATTGCCCGGGTGTCCAGTTTGGTGCTTGATTCTCGAAAAGCTTTGACAGTCTTGTCCAGTCTTTGACATCTTTTTCTTCTACAGCACCATCAATATATGCCAGCCCAGCCTATAATACAAATACTTCTTCAAAAACACAAAATTATGATTTTGTAAACTTTCAAACGTTTATCACAAAAATATGATTTTGTAAACTTTCAAACTTTTATCATCACAGTTTGTTCTGAAGGACTGTCTAAGGGCCAAAGGCAGTGTATTAGTAAGTTCGTAGATAAGTGTTAAGTAAATACTGGAAGTCAAATATACATATGTGTGCTTAATGATAATGAAGCCCTTGTTTCGAAATTACAAATAACTTGCAGGTCTTACCTATGTACTGTACAAAAAATGTGCACTCGTCCCGCGTACTGATCAGTTTTGTGTGGAAATCATATGAAATGTTGTGCTAATGCAAAAAACTAAACTCCACGCCCAGTAGGTTGTGTGATTACCTATGTATTTCTGAGTTTTAATGTGTATGATTTTGCAAAGTGTTTTTGCCAAGAGAACAGCTAAAATGGCAATCCCTTCAGGAGACAAAACGAATGACATGAACCCCAGTAGGGCCAACTGCTAGCAGATGTAGCACTGGTTACAGCAACTTGAAAAGTTTTTAGCTACAAAGGCGAAAAACCAGACCATGAATTACCACTTGTTCTAGGTATTCCAGATAATATGTGATACAGCTTATTTTTGCTTGTCAAATTTATGGAATTTTATGCATGAATCTAAATGCTTGATTTGCAGTGGCCGTTTACTTAAGCTTCAAATCCTTGTTATCTTCCCATGTGTAAATTTTAACAAAATCTAGAAGTTACTTGATGCGATAGTAACATTTCAATGGTGATGTTTTCCTTTCCGTATTGTCCAAATTCAGGCCAGTACTTGGTGACCAAATCATCGTACGCTACCAGACCACGATCAACCAGCATTGCAAAGCAAATTGCACAAACACTCTAAAATACTACAAGCTTGAAATAATCCGATAAAAAGACAGTTTCCTGCTACGCTATAAATCCAGAATAGCTCCACATGGTTTTTTTGGAGTTAGAAACTGTTCTGAAGTGAAGTTCAGTGAAAAATCTGCATTCCAACTACTGCATAGTGTTTTAAAGGCTACTTAAAATACCAGAACAAAGTTTTTTCCATAGCACTTGATCAAACCAGCTGCAATCCAACAGATCAGTGATATTTAGAGGTATTTCTGAAATGTTGGCCAATTTCACCATGGTACTTTTTTCCCACCATAACCAGTTGGATTAAACACAGGAGACTTTCCTTTCTAAATCACCGAGGATCAGGATAGGAACTGCCAAAAAATTACTATGAACCTTTGTAGAACTGAATAGCAATGTCATTGTATCGTTGCGCCATTTTCTGTACGACAACGAGTCGGAATAGCCACCCCATAAATCAACCACTTTTTCTCCATTCACATAGATAGCTAGTGCGGCGCCATCACTCTCCCATTTTTGCGTGAAATTATCACTAAACACCATGAAACATGCTTGAAGTAACAAGATTTAACACTGAAATCAATTATTTCACCGTTTCAAACGTGTAGCTATCTGGTTTGAAGCTATAGCTTTTGCTAAAGATTGGGGCCTGAAGCGGACCGATAGCTCATTTCAGTTTTGAGGGCTTGTATATAATTTGTCACAGTGTCTTTATTCACAGAACTGTTTCCTAGCTTTTCCGGTTCCTGAACCGAATTCTGGGACGACGTGGTCTTAATGCGTTTGCAGATGACGTCGTCTTAACGTTTTTTATTATATCCGGATGAAGACAAAGACAGAAATACGTGATGAACTTACCAAAATGCTTGTTTGACGAGAAGGAATCGTGGATCACAATCACCGTCAACGAATACCGGAAGCCGCGGCATCTGAAGTTTGTTTATAATGAAGCCCTGTGATAAGACTGCACTGGACTGAGAAGAAACTTTTTCTCGGCCCAAATGCAAAGGCCACTCGTGACAGCTTTTTACCTAGGTAAATTTTCACAGGATTTTAGCCAATTGCGAAATAAACTTATTTACGTCCCCTAGCCAGAAAGTTGATGAGCATGGTAAGAGATACTGTAGCTCGCAAGTTCGTTACTGGATAAGTTTGTAAAACCCGAATAATGCTGATTTTCTCGATAAACACTACAACTTCACATCCTAGGCATTCGCTCTCATTTTTTGAGAACTGTGGACAATGGAATTAAATTGTGGAGATGAAGACAGAGTGCTCGGCAAATGGCGAAATGCTGCTTATCCCGGCGCCACTAACGAAGCAATCGAAATTGTTTTTGATTTCACAGCTGCTCGCATTCAAAAAAGATTTATTTAATTCTAAAAATAAAAATTGGCGGAATCCACAGAAAATTATATCCCATCTCGAATTATTTTACTAGTCCCATTACGAAACAGTAGCTCGTAGGAGGAGGACGACAACACTTTCTCAGTCTGCTCGAACTAAGCACTTTCTTCCTTACCCGCATTCCTACGCTTTCATTTTTCCAGCCAAGAGGTATGAATCAGTTGCTCAACAGAAACTACTAATTTAAAGACCGAGAAAAGACTGATTTTCTGAGAATTAATTTTCGGCTTCATTTTAAATTTTAATGATTTATTTAGCTATTTCAAGAATCGGCAGCCCCAACGTTTTTTGTATTTCTGAGAATGCAATTCTTTGTCAGTAGAAAAGTTGCGGAGACAGATGTCAGTTTCTGAGACTTTTTTACTCAAATTGAAGCACATACAAGTCAGTGCGTGGACCCAGTGTACCGATGTCGTTGAGACGGCTTTGCGTGATCGCATTTCCCGATCCTGAGCTTATATCCCCAGTCAGTATCCATAGCATCGCACTGTATGTACTTCGTCCTCTCGGAAGTCGCCGAGTGGTCGTTTACTACGAAGGACTGCTTAGTTCAGTATACCATGAGTATCGGCTCGTGGTGTGGCGCTAGTAATTAGCAAAACATCAGTTCACAAATTGGTTTTCAAAATGGTATTATTTTGTAAAAAAAAACGTGGATTTATAAGCTTGTTGCGTTTCTGCGGTATGTTCCTTGCTGTTTTCTTTTTGTTCCGTGAAATAATACTTTTCAGGCAACATATTTTTTCTGGATGCGGGAAAAACTTTTCTGGAAGCGGTGCATCAGTTTATTCATTGTTAGAGCAGCTTCACTTGATGATGATGAAGACGATGACAATGTTGATATTGTATTAGATATGGCAAATATTCAATACAAAAATCTCTTATTTACTGAAGAAGACAAACAGAAAATAAAAGAAGGAATATTTATGAAATAAATGACGCATCACAGAACAATGACAGTGTACAAAGCTTCGGAAAAATAACTGCTGAGTGATGCTTCTCAGTTCAGCTTCACCGTTTTTGTACCTAAGACAATAGCGCATGAGAATAGATCCAAAAACAATGAGTTTCTCGAGTAAAGTTCTTAGGTTTTAAGCCTTGGACAAATAGAGCGGAATATGGATGAATAAAGCAAGGGTTCTTGAGCATCCGTTGAAAGTAGGTCGGCTGCTTAGCTGGTTTAAACAACGATCGGACACTGGCACCACTGGTTAGATATGACTTTAAACAGCATGCAAAAGAATAATGATGTGAGAATAGGCTGGATGAGTTAAAACATTGACTCTCAAGCGCTAATACTCCTTGAAAATTATTATATGCTCGAAACCCTGGTGTAGTGGCAAGAAGCATAACTTAAAACTGTGATTCTTACATTGATTACAACAACACTGCATGTGTTAGGAGAATTTCAACTTCCATGTAAACTTTGTAAGAAGGAATCACTGACAGGCTCTCAGCGGGCATTGGTGTGAAAATTACAAATATTTCTACCCTTTTAAAAAGACTGAACTAAGTAGACTGACACTGTATCCAGACTGACAACTAAGCAGGTTGGCCATCAAATGTTGAGATTTTGATCACACAAAACCAGAGAAGTTATCAGCTGTACTGATGGCGCGAAGTGCGCTGTGATTAAAGGACGGCGCTGATAAAGGTATAATTAATAATATACGTATATATATATAATTAAATACTAAGAAAATAGCTGAAGAATACAGGAAACGGTTGAGGGCTGTTCAAAACAGCATCTGTAAATCATACACATACACACACGCTACACACACACACACACACACACACACACACCAAAAAATACAAATTAATTGAAATAATTTAGCTGTTTTCTTTATCAGCTTGCTTCAGCTTCTGTAGATGATTTCGCTGCTGAAGATGTTTTGCCGAACGAAAGAGATGAAGGTGCAGGTGCCGCAGAGTTATCCAAAGAGGAATTTGACTTTTGAACTGTTTCCACTCCTGTAATTTTCATGCTAAAATCAAAACATATTAGATGATGAGAAAAATACACATTTTGCGCGGATTTCTACCTATCTTTTCGAACAGCGTTTGAAGGAAGCTTCAACAACTAATTATTCCCTTATAAAGTTTTTATCGTGAATTTTCGAAGAAAGAATGAAAATCATGGAGTGTTCTCCTTGCGGAAAGGCGTACAGTACTTGAAATGCTTGGAACATTTAGAACTGATAACATGCAGTGCAAGTTCTGAAAGAAGCAAAAAATCGAAGATCCGAAAATTCCAAAAAATCGATAAAAATTCGAAATTTTTTTAACTGTGTGTTAACGAATTTACTTTCTACTGTTCGATTATAAACGAATATTGCGGTGAACGTCACAAAGAGTATCTGTTTTATAATATAAATATTTGTACTAATAAATGTGGGTCTCAGCTTTTTTACTGGGATACCCATACTGATAACCCGAGCGATCTTGATATTCTGGGTTAGACTAAAGTCCCAACTAAAAAGTGAAAAATTATTTGCCCAGCGCATTAATCCTTCGAGGAAAAAACCATTCAACCATATGAACAGATGCTAATTAACAGTTTTATGAGTTAACGATTCTGTTCTCTTCAAGCACTTTTTGAATCGGGGATAACAATCGTACCCGCTGCTGTTTCGGCGACGCCATCAGCCTGTTTGAGCAGGTTGTTCTCGCGAAGGCAGTCGTACAGTGCATTTTGCAAATGCATAAATGTTACTGTATATTCAGCCATACCAGTCTTCAAGCCGTTGCAGAGGTATGCGAAAGCTAGATGATTCGCTACGTCCATTTTTACATTTTGACCACCAAATCCTGGATGTCCAATCAACCACTGACCCTGCAACGTTAAA